ATCCCTAGCATACTGTGATACTGTGAAAGAGCCTTACAGACTTTTTATTTGTAGAACACAATATGATAGTGGGTCCCAATCGTGTAACAATTGACTCGTGTGCTTAAATGAGAAATTCCATACTGACCAGCATATGCGGACTGAGTAAAATGGACAGTTGTTGTGGAGTCATGAGGGGTGATATAGTTGATGTGCTCATTAAGGCAGAATTACAGCTGCATAGAGTCTTGGTCTTTCTAGGTTTTGGATGTTTACTTGTGAAAATCCAATGGTAATATGACTTTTGGTTAGAATTTAGAATAGATTTACAAGCTCAGAGCTGATCTTGCTTCCAGGTGCACAGTAACAAAAAAACCCCAACCGATTACTTATTAGTGTAATTTATTTTCTTAAACTATTTTTTCATATTCTCCTGTGCAGAGGAATTATCGTTTTAGACTCAGTTCTTCCTTGATTTTCTAAATATTAAATTTGTTAAAAGTTGAACACTTCCAGGGAGTGAGCATCTACCACCTCTCTGGGCAACCTGTTCCAGTGTCTCACCCTCTCAGTGAAGAATTTCTTCCTAATATCCAACCTAAATCTACCCTATTTCAGTTTGAAACTGTTACCCCTCATCCTATCACTACACTCCCTGATAAAGACCCTCCCCATTTTTTCTGTAGGCCCCCTTCAGGTACTCGAAGGCCGCTATAAGGTCTCCATGGAGCATTCTCCAGGCTGAATAGTCCCAACTCTCTCAGCCTGTCCTCAGAGGGGAGGTTCTCCAGCCCATGATCATCTTCGTGGCCCTCCTCTGGACCTGCTTGAGCAGGTCCATGTCCATCTTAGACTGGAGACCCTAGAGCTGGACACAGTACTGTAAGTGTAGTCTTACAAGAGCTGAGTAGAGGGGCAGAATCACCTCCCTTGACCTGCTGGCCACACTTCTCTTAATGCAGCCCAGGATGTGATAAACTTTCCAGACTGTGAGTGTGCATCTCTGGCTCATATTCAGTTTTACATCTACCAACACCCCCAAGTCCTGCCGCGCTGCTCTCAATCCACTCATCACTCAGCCTGTATTTGTGCTTGGGATTGCCCCCACCCAGGTGCAGGACCTTGCGCTTGGCCTTGCTGAACTTCATGAGGGTTGCACGGGCCCACCTCTCCAGCCTGTCAAGGTCGCTCTGGATGGCATCCCTTCCCTCCAGCTTGTCAACTGCACCACACAGCTTGGTGTCATTGGCAAACTTGCTGAGGGAACTTCTGAGGAACAAGTAGCAAGCCTTACCGGTTTCGTTGGTTTTGCTAAAATAACTGTTTTACTATTATTATGAAACTGGAGAAGAGAGATCAGAAATTAACTAAAGCATGTCTGATTGCTCTGCAGAAGGAACCTACCTGCTAGCAAGTCTGTGGATTCTGGAATTCTGCCAGACTACAGTTACAAAATGGATTATCCAGAGATGGGGAAATGTGTTATAATAAACAACAAGAACTTTCACAGACACACTGGTACCTCTTTCATATTTTTAAGTTTCTTCCTTAATTTAAATAAGTGCCCTGTATTATTCTTCAAAATTAAATATGCAGACCAATTTTGATTGCAATCTAAAATTAGGTGGTTTGAATGGGTGTGATTCATTTCAGTGTATTCCAACTGTGCACAGTGGGAAGATGTTAGGGTATAGCAGTAATGGAGAGAAAAGTTGATAGGCAGCCTTACTTTTTAGTCGTGGTTTCTCTTTTGCAAATGAAATCCTTTTTTATGATTGATAGATGTGAAAATAAGGAGTAGATAAACCTATAGTATAGGTACAGAGAGAGGGAGATAGTGTGCATGTATAACAGTGCAATGTTTTTTCTGTTAAGAATGCGTCTGGAATAATGCAATAATATTCCAGACTGATACATATATGAGAAAAGAATTTGGCTTATCAGACTATGCCATCTATAGCATACAAAAAATCATATGTTTCTCTTTTTTGTAGGGATGTTGCCCCGTTCAGGTACAGATGCGGATGCTGCACGTGTCAGGGAAGTTTTTATGAGGTTGGGATATACAATAAAGATCAACAATGATCTTTCCTGCGAGGACATTTATAAACTATTGGAAAAAGGTAAGTTAGTATGTTCAGTGTGTGTATTACATCAACCACTGTTTCTAATTACATCTCTAGCCCTCATATCTCTTCTTCTGTGGTTCTTTTAGATGATACTTCACACCTACTGGTGGTTCATTGCTAAGGATGACATGTACATCATAGTTTCTGTGTTTATTCATCTTTGCTGTCTCCATCTTTTGTGCTATGACTGTTGTCTCCGTATCCTTTCTCATCTTCTAAAGAAGGCTGGAAAAAAGGCTGAATCTTAAATGCAGGCTGGTTTATATTCTGCCTCTGGGATTGCTGAAGCTCTGTGAGTTGGAAAGAAACCTGCTTAACTGGGTAGAGGTGTTCTGTGCTGTAGTCGTAGTGGTGTGGCCCAAGAGGTGCTGTGATCTGGGGGGTTCTGATCAAGGGACCAGAACTGCAAGCATGGGGACTGAACCATTCTTTTAGAGAAACAGCCTAATTTTTTGCTTGACATGTGTAACAAAACACCCGTCTGTCAAATGAGAGCTTCATACTACTGTTTGTGTTAGTCCTGCTTTGTTTGGACTTGGCTACATCCAGGCTAGTAAATTTAACAGTGCCTGGGGGTATCTGCAGCCCTGGAACACAGTCTGTTCCACTTAACTATTGGAAGGTTCTCTGACATGACTGTGGCCTGTGCCTGCTGGCACTCTGCCAGGCTGTTCTGGGTCACAGTTCAACAGTAGAAGTGTTCCAGGGATTATTCCCAACAGCTAGTTAGCCTACAGCAGTGGTGTTCGCTTTGTTTTTAAATTTAAGTGTTTGCTAACATAGATGTAGGTTCATTAGTGCAAGTTCATGTTTATGCCAGAGAATGCTCCCAGGTGTGGTTAATTTATTAGTGTAATTGCAACTTGTCTGTTACCTGAAAGTGGAAAAGCCTCTGTCTTACCTGTGGTATAAGACCTCCAAGTAGACAGTGTAAACTACAGACTTGCAGCCTGACTAGAGATTTCCAAGAAAACCTTTCCTGACTCTTCTAGATGCAGTGCTTGTCCAAAAATGAAAGCCTGTGTGCATTTCAGCTTTTGGGACCTTTATGCTTTTCATCTACAAATGCTTGCATCTTCTTGAGTTTCCCACTCAGAATTCCTTTTGGATCCTTTCTTTTAAACCATCTTTGTATCTTTTTATGTATTTAAAAGAATCATCTTGGTCCTAATGTACAATCTACCAGAATGCCAGGCAACAAAAAACATCAGAGAACACCTGTTCTATGCTCTTGGCTTACCACAAGATGGAAAAAATGCTTGTATCAACAAAACAAACAACTGTTTGTTTTTGTTTTTTGTGTTTGTATCAACAAACACTTTATATCAAGCTTAATTGTCTTCAAGTACAAAATTCAGAGGCTTGAAAAAATTTTTCTAGACCTTGCTACAGGGCAAAAGTGAGAGAGAGTACCTAGGTCCCAACAACAGCAACAACTTTCATGCTACGTTCAGTTTCCCTGTAATTCAAGTAGTTGAAGCATCTCTGATTGGAAAGAGAGGCGAGACTTCTCCATCCTTTCCCAAGACTGAGAACTTCCCATCAGTCCAATCCCAGATCATGAGACTGTTGACCTTTATTGCAGGAGCAAGGTGTACCATGGGAACACTCTCTTTGTTTCCTCACAGTGTTACTAGCCTAGCTCTGTGGCTGTGTTTCAGAATGGGTAGCGGTGGCCTTTAATTTGGGATTTTCTGTGTCCGATGTCCTGAGGGTAAAGTAGGCTGGCTCCTTTTGTCAGAAGTGAAAACTAGTTGGAGGTTTCTAAACATGGGAATCAATTCTTAAAATACTTCTGTCGCATAGGAAGTATCAATGTTCAAAGCTTTTAGGAAATGCAAGAAGTTAAGATAATTCTCTCTTTTCTTTCAAGTTTCTCAAGAAGATCATAGCAAGCGATGCAGTTTTGTTTGCGTGTTGCTGAGCCACGGTGATGAAGGATTAATTTATGGTACAGATGGTCCTCTTGAACTGAAAGCATTAACGAGCCTTTTCAGAGGCGACAGGTGCAAAAGTTTAGCAGGAAAACCCAAGCTCTTTTTCATTCAGGTGATGTACAGCTGAACAATGATCATCAAATCAGCTGCATACTTTAAAGTATTGTTTCCCATTAATTATTAGTGCAAAAAAGTTAATTATTTCTGAAGTTTATTGAATGGAATTACTTTCAGAATAAGATTCTCTGCAGGTCTAGAAGTGGCACAGCCTGCCCTGGTAGGCGGGCAGTATTTGTAGCAGCTGTGATTTTGTTACCTTAAGTCTATGGATTAAGTAAAATCTCTCTGAATTCTAGCTAATATTTCAGTGACTTTCTGAATGTGCTTTTGAATTAAGTATCTACTGTAACCAAACTGTAGCTGATTTAAATAAATGCTAGTTACTTCTGCATATGTCTAATGGAATTGTGACATAGAAATTCTTCTTATTTTTGCTGTTTCGTTAATTGGGATATTATTGTCTTGAAAATGGAAAAAAACCCCCAGTATTCTGATCATGAGCCCTGCCTTTATTTTGTTATTTTTTATTTTCTATTCCTTTTTGTACCAAATAGGCTTGTAGAGGAACAGAATTAGATTCCGGTATTGAGACAGACAGTGGATCGGTTTTTAAGAACCAATGTGTCAAAAAATACCTGTAGAAGCAGATTTCTTGTATGCGTATTCTACAGCTCCAGGTGAGACACTTGCACAGAAATTTTTGTTCCTGAAACTGTATCTGTATATCAGCTTGTATTGATATTGGAAATGACAATTTGCAGTTTTATCTGGTCAGTTGATGACAACTTCATTTGTTCTCATTCACAGAAATACAAATTTTCTTCTCTCAATTGTTTTTCTAATCTGATTTTTTTTTCTTTTTTGAGGTAGTTGCAACAAACAAACAACAACCACCCATACCCTGAATATATATTTTCCTCAGTAGCAAACCCTTGAATGTTCATCTGCGATAAATTCAGTTAATCTGAGTTGTGCAAATAATTTACAGGAAGAAGTAAAAGGCATTATTAGTTCTGAGGGAACAAAACACTCAGACATCTAATAGATGCATATACAGAAGTGGGTGATAAAAACCAGCATATTATTTGCCTATTGACTCTGGTTTTGTTGTGTTCTTAAAGAAAATTAGTAGCGGCAGAGCCCTCAGTTTGCCCTTTATGTTAGCAGTTAGCAGAAGTAGGTTCCAGTCTTTAGTTCATGCACATGGTCCTGAAGGTCGCGATGCCGAAATCCATTTTGCATCTTGGCTCCATCTGTGCTGTCGCCTCTCCTTTGTATACGTGTACTCTGTAAAGAAGTAGTAAGTGATTAATGGCTAAGACTGTTACAGCAGAAGATAGTCTTCTCACCTTTTGAAAAGATAACATGATTGGAAGAATCCTTTGAGTTGGAATTTGGACGGAATTATCAAATCTAAATCTTGTTGGTTAGTGGCTTTGAGTTTTGATTGCTGTTGGAAACAATTCACTGTTCCCTGGATTGCTATCCTCTCTTCTCTCAGAGGCTGCTACATCCAATCAATTTGACATCTCTCTTTTCTACAGGCTATTACTCCTGGAGGAATTCAGCTGAAGGCTCCTGGTTTATTCAGTCACTCTGTAAAATGCTGGAGGAGCATGCAAGGAAACTTGAACTCATGCAGATTTTAACTCGTGTAAATCGCAAAGTGGCAGAGTATGAGTCCTGCTCAACTCGGCAGGATTTTAACGCAAAGAAACAGATTCCTTGCATTGTCTCAATGCTTACCAAAGAATTTTACTTTCCTTGCTAAGAGAGTTTCACTTTGTAATTTTTCAGTTCATGTTTTTGTGAGTAATTTGTATGCAATGTTAGTATGGAATACCACTTTCCAATCTGGACTACTGTTTGCTACTGTGTGTGGCAAAATGAACTGTCTCAGAGTTAGATATGTCCGTTATTAGAAGTAAAACATAGTGTGGCTATGTTAGAAATGCAAACCTGAGTAGCTGAAACACATGCAAATTTGGAAATAGTGCTCTGAGTGTTTAAAAAAATTAGGAAGAAGAGACTGAAGAAAGATCAGATCACTTATCCAATATATTTGGTGCTATATTTCACTTGACTGAAGGGGCAGAGAAAAGAAACAGTTCTGTAAACAGTTTGGTTTCATGTCTTTGTAACAGGAAGAATATTCAGAAGGTGATATGTTTACTAATGATGATAGTAGTGTCATCATACATTTCTTCTTAACTCAAGTTCTTAAAGTTTAGGTTACAACATAACCTAAACTGCTTTTATAACTTAGGGCATAAACTGTGGAAAACAGCCATTTCATTTTTTACATACACTTAGGAAGCACTTTTAAATACAGTCATTTTTTTTCCCTGATCATTTTATAACTTTTTGTACGGAGTGTTGGGTAAAACAATTATATCGTACGGTAGCTGTTTCAAAACAAGTTTTGTATTCTGACCTTGAAGCTAAGTGACTGAGGGACCAGTCTTTGAAAATTTCTTCTTCTGCAGCCCCCTGAGGGGGAAGCTGTTGGGGCATATTTTGTGCTGTAAGAATCATTGCAAAAGGAAGTCTACATTCCCAGTAGTCTTCATTCCTCTTTGGCCACAAATAAGAGTGGGTTTGCTTTGTGCTGTGTGCGTACCACATCTGATCTGTGTGGAAACCTAGATTTGTGATGCTGGAGAAGTTCCAGTTCTTAACTATCGTTTTGAGTTATTTTTAAGACTTCACCTAAAATATGTTAATAAATGGTAAATTTGTATCACTTGTCTCCGAATTCTGTGGAATAGGCTTTTACAAAATTGTAAAATGCTTTTGTTGATATTGCAGCTTGTGATAGTATTTTTAAAATTAGAGGAAGACAAAATGGTAAATGACAGTATTGTGCTTGCAGAACAAGATTTAAAACTCTTTAAATTGTGTAGCATAATGTAGCAAATTGATGTTCACTTTCAGAGGCATGTGGGATTTTTTTTTTAAACTTAAATTAAATACTGTTTCCTAAATTGTATAGTGCTTTTCTATGTGTATTATTTGGTTTGGATTTGGTAGCTTTGGCACATGAATTTTAATTATGTCCCTGTTTCTCAAAATACTACTTTCCCTTTTCTTCCCCATCTGCCTTACCACATGAAGCTGTTCTAAAGCGAGGTAATGAGTGCACTGACTGAGACATGGGGAAATGCAGGTTCAAAAGTTATGCAGAGGTGGCAATTTCAAGCATTGGAGATGAGATCTCTGATGGCTGCTTGCTGAGTAGTGGGAGTCTTGTCTCTCTCTTGTGGAAATGCTTTGCAAGAAAGGATTAGTCTGTTTTAACTGTTTTGAAACCTCAGTTTCAAGCAGATCTATTACCTATGCTTTTGTTGAAAAACTAAACAGGCCCCTGTTATACGTGCCTAAAAATAACATTTACTAAAATTTATACATGGGCTTCTTTGCGTAGGTTGTGAAATACAACAAGCAGCTGCACAGTTATATGATATAAATGACTGACAGGACTTCTGTTAATCTACTTCAAAGTAATTGGGAATAGGAATATTCCTTGAATTCTTAGTTATTTAGCCGTGGAAAAAGTCCTGTCAGAGTTTTCTCTCTCTAGATTTAGTAGGTTCTGGTCTTGATCCTTCTTGGTCCTTTAAAGAAAAAAATGATTCTACAACTTTTGCAGTAGTCTTTAAAATAGAGCAAAACAGAATCAAAGCTACATTAGGGTGAGTAACCAGTCATTTAGGACGTCATAGAGGTAGGGCTTTATTCCTGTCAGTCATTTCCTTTCAGGACAGGAACTGCATTTTACTCTGAGTTAGTAAATACCTTTACAGTGCCAGGAAGGCTTCTGAGGGCTGATATTTCGCTTGATGGGACTTAGGGGTAGAAATAGAGCCTGTTGGAGAAGGGAGAGGAAGAGTGTTTTTGAATGCTCACTCAGTTTGCCAAAGAGGTCTGATTAGAGCTGGTGAGGTAAGCTCATGGCAACTGGAAAAATGGAATCTAGTTGAAAGGTTGAACTTGGGGAAGAGGCAGTGGAATGGAAGATTGCAGTAAAGTAAGCATTTAGGAAAGACCTGAGGAAAATAAGACAATTTAAAAGGTCTGTAGGGTGATGCTGAGTGCTTGAGGAAAACACAGAAATTGATGAAGGCCATGATATAGAGGCACAATTGCCAGGTAATAATTGCTGTAGGATTTGGCTGGATAAATCACAGAAAATTAAGGTAGAGGAGTGGAAGCCAAGTGAAGGAAGGGATTGTACAGTGTAATGACAAAGAGGGAGCTGCCTTGTTTTGAGTGAAATGAAAGGAGAAACGAACAGGTGATTTACGCTAAAAACCTGGCAGACAACACATGTTGGTTTTACAACAGGTTCTACTAGTAAAGGGGCAGTTGAACTATTTTTTTTATTGTTGAGTTATGTGATAAAAGCTTGTCTACACACTCACAAAGGAGCACAGAAAGACAAGGGTGGAAGGGGAAGCATAAATAATTCCCTGCCCTTCAGGGTTGCTTCCAGGCCTGTCGCAGGAGGCATCAGCCCATCAGTGGCTCATCTCCACAAGCCCAGACTGCTCAAGAGTCCGAGTGCTGGCAGGAACACAAATTAAGGACTTGGAGGTAGGGACATCCTGCGTAGGCTCCTCCCAGAGCTGTCCCAGGAGAGCCTCAGCCCGAAAATCCACTTGGTGAAACCCAGCAAGATGAGTCAGTGCAGGAGCACCTTTCATATCATAGTGGGATACATCATGGGATACAGGGGAAGAACATCTGGAGATTCCTCAGGTTTTGTTATGGGAATTTTTGGGAAAGAACCAAAAGCAGGAAAAGGGATGTGTTTGGGGAGGAACAACTATGGGGAAAATAGAGGTGTAAGGGTATAAAGAGGGCTGATCACATCTAAGTAGTTTGCTGATCAGTACACTTGTCTGGCCATGCCCTGAGCCTGACCAGTGCAGTCTGTCCTGACTTCTTACTAAATTCTGGTTTAACTGTTCTGGAGTGTGGAGGCTCTGCTCTGTGTGTGTTCATGGGGGACCAAGTCACCAGTTGGAGTCAGACTACAGGTCAAAGCGCTTGTGTCTCTGTGGTGCAGTGACTGGAGTGACCTGATTTACGGGCCAGTGGTGGGAGTAGCACCTGGGGTCACAGTTTTCCACGTGCCCAGGTATGTCCAAGTGCCAGCAATGGGGGAGACTGGGGCCTGGGGTCAGGTCTGGGGCAGGCTGAGTGTCTAGATACATGTATGTTCCCACTGCAGACCTCTGTCTTGCTCAGAGATGGGAGCAGGATAAAGCCGTTGATGCTGGGTTTGTGTTTGTGGTATCAGCGTGTGTGATTACACACATGGTCATGTGTGTGTGTGTCATCACTAAGTTTGCAGATGACACCAAGTTGGATGGGAGTGTTGATCTGCACAAGGATAGGGAGGCTCTACAGAGGGACGTGGATAGATTGGATCAATGAGCTTCAACAAGGCCAAGTGCCAGGTCCTGCCACAACAACCTCCATGCCATGCTACAGGCTTGGGGAAGTGTGGCTAGAAAGCTGTCTGGTAGAAAAGCACGTGGGAATTCTAATAGACAAGCATCCAGCAGTGTGCCCAAGTGGCCAAGGAGGCCAATGGCATCCTGGCTTGTATTAGAAATAGTGTGACCAGCAGGAGTAGGGAGGTCATTGTCCCTCTGTACTCAGACTGATGAGGCCTTACCTTGAGTACTGTGTTCAGTTTTGGGCACCTCATTACAAGAGGGATGTCGAGGTGCTAGAGTGAGTACAGAGGAGGGCAACAAAGCTTGTGAAGGGCCTAGAAAATAAATCTTATGAAGAGCAACTGAAGGAGCTGGAGCTGTTTAGTTTGGAGAAGAAGAGGCTGAGGGGAGACCTCATCACTCCCTACAGCCACCTGAAAGGACATTGTAGAGAGGTTGGTGCTGGTAATTGGTAGTAGAACTAGAGGGAATGGCCGCAAGCTGCAACAGGGTAATTTAGGCTGATGTTAGGAAAAAAAATTTCACAGAAAGAGTAGTCAGACACTGGAATAGGCTGCCCAGAGAGGTGGTTGAGTCACCTTCCCTGGAGGTGTTTAAAGGTCTTTTAGATGTAGTGTTGGGGGATATGGTTTAGGTGTGGACTCTGGAGGGTAGGGTTGTAGGTTGGACTCGATGATCCCAAGGGTCTTTTCCAACCTCAGTGTTTCCGTGATTCTATGATATGTGGTGTAGATGTGTGCTCTGTGTGTGTGTGCCTACTGGGAGCACATCAGCCTTGCTACTGACTAGAGCTGGGGACAGGGAGCTGCAGCAACCTTACCTCTCTTGGGCTGTTGGATATGGCCTGATATCTTTCCCTCCTAACACATATCTTTTAAAAAAACAGTGTGAGAAGAGACACTATCCAACAGACTTCTGAAATGTGAGGGAGGTAACTTTTTTTTTTCCAGAAGGTGAAGGAAAAGTACCTTAAATATGGAGACCTTCACTGAGATGAATGGTGAAAGGCTAGCAGAAAACACTGCAAGGAAGTGTTACAGAGTTTTGAATATACTAACTGATGGGAACAGTTCATGGCTTCCCCAGGGAAGGCATTCCTGCCAAGTGTGGCTGCAATTTCCAAGCTGAGCTGGGAAGGACATGATCATGTTTCACCTGAAAATACGTTTATTTGCGTGGCAAATTGGATGGTCAGTTAAATCATGTCCAAAAGGCTTTTTAAAATCCTGAGCTTAGTATTTTGCTGATCTGAAAAGCCACCAAGACCACAAACTTAGGATAAATTAATGATGAAGCTAATGAGGATGGTATATGAGACGCCTAATGATTTTTACTGTTTGCT